GGGGGGGAGGAGAGGATGATGGGAAAGGAGGGAAGATCCAGCCAGTTAAGCTGGGAAAGGGATACTTGACAGGCAATTCTGATTCATACTGGGAAAAGAGACCAGCCTAGCATCCCTCATCTAACTCAGCATCCCTCATCCAACCCAGCATCCCTCAGCCAACTCAGCATCCCTCAGCCATCCTGGCATCTCTCAGCCAGTTCAGCATCTCTTAGCCAGTCCAGCATCCCTCAGATAGGCCTGTGAGCAGATGTTGACCCTCTTAGGTGACCAGCCACAGAGAATTAGGGCAGCTGTGTTGTCTGAGGGTTTCTGTGGTTTCCAACCACAGGCCCATCTGTGCCTCCTGAAACTCAGCACTCTTGAGAAGGGCCCCAGACTTCTCTAAGTGGCACCAGTTCAAGCCTTCACATGGGATGCTAGGGTCCACTGTGGGACTGCACACTAAAGCCAGACCATCCACACTTGTTCTTCCCCTTGCTCCTCAGGGTCACATGTCCCAAATGGCTCCATGAACCCCTCCTGGGACTGGCTGCAATGCTTCTGGGGAGGATGTGGCTCTTTCTACAGGCAGATAGAGGACGGGTCCAGGGCTGACCTTATTGCTTTGGAGACATACAAACCTGGCTGAGGATGGAGCCAGCCAGGAAGAATAGCACTGGTGTGTGTGTGTGTGTGTGTGTGTGTGTGTGTGTGTGTGTGTGTGTGAAAAGGGACTCTCACCTCAGCACTCCAATACCATCCCACTGGGCACCAGGCCCCCACATTTCAATCAGCTGGGCTAATCTGTGCATTGTTTGGCACAGGGGAATCTGAGCTGGGTCCAGGCCACTGGTGACTTATGTAGCAGAGTAGTGATCAGTCCTGCTGTGTTATGCATCCCTGTTTTCCTCGTCTCTGCTATAGAAATCTTTAGTAGCCCCTCCCCCCATACACAGTGGGTGCTCCTACAATTGTACTGGGGCACAATGGGGAACCATGGCCTCTTGTTCCACAGCCCAAATTGTGCTTTCCAGGTTCTGATGATGGCTCTGGTGTCCTTCAATGTCCTAGCTATCACCAACCAGCTTCCTCTTTGCAGCTCATCTTACCCTTTATTCCCTGTGCAAGGAGGGGTGTTTCCATTCACCTCTCTCAGTGCGTAAGCACCATGTTCCATCCACCAGCCACCGTCTCCTGGCTGCTTTCCTGGTCCACCATGACAGGTGGTCATATCTCAGCTGCCCCTCCAGCTAGGCGCCCTTTGCCAGAGGCTCATCTTCTACTCAAGCACAGTGACTTGATGGCAGTGTGAACTGGAGTGATATGGGGAG